ACACACACACACACACACACACACACACACACACACACACACTCTGGAGAGCGGCTTCTTCACAGTAAAGAGGATTTGTCGGCCTGATGTCTGAGGGGATGAGCGACGTGTTCCACATGGATCAGGATGTGATGAGTAACTTTGTGATGAGTTCAGCTCATCTGGATTTTTATTTTTACTCAGTAAACATCTCTCACGATGTGGAACAAAATTTAAAAGTTACATTTCCGAATAAATTTAAAAACACACCCATGTTTCTACACTCTTCTACACTTGTAGGAAAGCTGCAAACCTCTGATGTAAGAAAGTTGAGTTGAGTCCTGTGATTTTCCACAGGCGGTTTAAAAACAAGCAGCTTGAGGTTAATGTGACAGTTTCCTCTTCATCAGTTAATAACATTTAAATAACTAACGTCTCACTTCCAGAGCGGCTCTAGTAAATTTCTCCTCCACTGACGTTTAAAAAAAATCTTCACAAAAAGAGTTTTCATCCTGGAACCAGGTCGAGCAGATGAATCCAGAAAACATTTGATTCAGAAGAAAAAAAATATTGGAAAATGGACAAAATAAAAGGTACAAGACTGTTTACATAATTATTCTAAGAGAGAAGGAACTACACTTCCCATAAACCATTGCGACCTTTTCTACGACTTCATGAATTGAACCTGTGATTTTCACCATGAGACTCTTTTCTTTGACTCTAAAACAAAGCAGCATGTTTGAACAATACAGCTGAGGATTGTGGGTAGTGCAGTGCGGACCTGTGTCTCGTAGCTTGTGGTGAGTCTACCACAGATGGTTAAAATCATAGCTAGATGTAAATCCACCTCGGATGGTTAAAATATTGCGGCTGATAATAAAAACGTCTACTCAGAAAATTAAAGGATTTTTACTTCAGGAACCAAACTGTTGAGATCTGTAGAAGACTTTAAAAGATAAAACTACATTTACTGTCCTCAGCTTTCTAACAGTTCTTATTACTTATTGTTTAGTTTTTATGCTTTATTTTCCTTTTCTTTTAAATCCCATCTCCTCATTTCTTCTCTTTCACAAAGTATAACTTCATTCTCGACCTCTGGATTTCATATTTTCAGTCACATGATTTCCATCAGCTGCTGTTTCTCAGCTCAAGAATGAATTTAGAGTCTTTAACCAACATGAGGAGTCATTAAATATAATATTCTACAACTCAATCACTCCACAGAAAACTTGTGAATGTGAGAGTGAGAGGTTGTTGGTCTGTGAAACTCTCCTGCTGTCCGCTGGGAGTGGCTCCAGCTGACGTGGGATCAGACCACGATGGATGACTGAGCAGCTGTTTTAATGTTTCCTGGTCAAAGTCTGTTTCTTGGTCTTTTTGACTCGTGATCAATAAAGTTGTTTATATTGTAAACAACAGTTTTCCAAAATGCTCCAACAGAGAAAAGGTAGAATAAAGTGTTTTTCATTTTTCACAACCTGATCAACTGAAACATCAACTTTACATTTCATCTTTGTTCATCCATTTAAGTATTTATAATTTAGGGTGAAGTGAAAAATGAAGAATGAAATCCTCCTGATCGAGCTCGTGTCAGTTACTCACTGATCAGACGACGCCGTCGAGGGGAAAATCAATTTGTCGTCTAACGGTTACATGCAGACGATTAGTGCTATTGATTCTTTAACACAGTCAAAGACTCTGGGGTGGACACACACACACACACACACACACACACACACACACACACACAGTACAGTAGACCAGGGCTTTAATGCCGGCCCATGTATCTGTCAGATCAAGCAGAAGAGCCCATTCAAAAGCCATTATCATTATCACAACCATTACAATAGTTCCACAACATTAAGCATCATCCGACCCATTTAACAGAACACGAGTCTGATCCCTCAATCCAATCTGCTCCGATAAAAGTCCCCCCCGCTCTCTGACAGCCACTTATCTCATTAATCGATTATAATCTGACGCTTCCAATAATCACTCCGTGATAATCCGGTCAGAGCCGGAGAGGACGAACAGCTCCACCTGGAGGTCAGTGGATCTGACGTCAACAACGTAAACACAGACACGAGTCTGTGTAATGACCAGCAGGGGGCGACTCCACTGGTGGTTTCTACAGAAGTGGACTGTGGAAAGAAGCCGGAGAGAAACGAGTCTACTTTGATTTTTTAAAGTTTGGTCCATGCCCCATCTGCTAACATGGAGGAGGTTTATCCTGCAGCCTCACACCAGGGGGCGATCAGTGTGTTCTGCATCACTTTCGTCATGTCGTCCATCTTTATTTACAGACTATTCTTCTGACATGATATATAAATAAATATATGTAAATATAAAAATTACGGAAAAACTCATAATTTGTCCTTTTGTGCAGAAAACAAGGATGTGATGAAACATGCACACACACACACACACACACACACATGCACCTGTGTGTGTGTGTGTGTGTGTGTGTGTGTGTGCATTCCTTCACCCTCACATAAAAGCTGCAGCGTTTGAAACGTGGAGCTGATCTACATCTGAGACGAGAGACTCTGAAATCTGTGTGTGTGTTTGTCTTCGTAGGAAACTGGAGCAGATCAAAGCCGGCTCATT